CTTCCACTGAAAGGTGTTGTTGATGGGGCAAAGGTGGATGGCACGGGTTGTGCGGCCTCTAGCACATTCGCCTCATCGTTCAATACCTGTGCTATCGGAGCACTAGGCATCGATCGTGTGGCATATAGCCTCTCCTGTCCGTCTCTTCGGTGGTCGTTTGACTGAGCGGTTTCAGGATATGCGTTCGTTAGCATGAGCGCTTTTGGGCGTACGAAGCTGTGATTAATGTGTTGTGATGGTCGTTGCGAGCCAGGTGAGCTCATGTTCGATGGCTCTGTGAAGTACGACATGCTGCTTTGGTTCGAGATGTCCAGTAGCGTATTCAGGCGTGGCTCCATGATTGGAGGCCCTTCTCGTGGGCTATGTCGAAAGAGGTACAGATCCGTGGCGTTCGCGTTGTTTCCGTAGCGCCAAGCGGAAGCTAACGCGCATCCTTCATAATGTCGCGACACGCTTGCGACTGTATTATTTTACAGAAGTTCTGGGGCTTTTTCGTCTTGCTAAACTTATTTGTGAGCTCATGTAGGAATCAGAGCTGCAGATCAAGGGACGAAGATCACAGTCTTTCGAACTAAGTTCACGATACACGCAGTGCCATCAAGTTCAAGGCAGCATTTGATTTAAAGTTTTGAACATTGTATAGAGTGGATTCTATTGGTATGATGGGCGTAGCTGAGCCGAAGACCGCAACCAGAAAACCAACGCGACAGCGGCAGAACAACGCCGATCAATGCAACTAATCACAGATGAAAGACGAGACGCATATGCTAATATCGCAGGATCAAAGCACGCCAAAACATCTGCATTTCAAGCAGTTCCTGGAAGAAGGAAGATCAGCACACTGTATCCGAAACATTGAGGTCTGGCCGGCCATTATCAACGCGCCGAAGAAGCCGTACCATTTGTCTTTGCGGCGACGTCAGACATCTTGGTGTCAGTATGGAGCTTCTCGAGGTATTCCTTGTTGCCTGCGGGGGTCGCTTTGATGGTTTCGTCACCCGGGTTCCAGTTAGCAGGGCAGACCTAGTGAAACTATGTTAGCATATAGCGTACTTGGGAGTGCATGGGAACAGGAAGTATCGTACCTCGCCATATTTGTCGGTGAATTGGAAGGCATCGATCAGGCGAAGGGTCTCGTCGACCGATCTTCCAACAGGAAGGTCGTTGATAGTGATCTGTCGTACGATGCCGTTCGGGTCGATCAAGAACAGACCTCGCAACGCAATCCCCTCCTCTTCGATCAGCACACCGTAGTCTTTTGCAATGCTGTGGTTCTTGTCGCTCAGCAGAGGGATGTTGATTTTGCCCAGGCCTCCTTCCTTCTTGCTTGCGTTTGTCCAAGCAAGCAAGCTATACTCGCTGTCTGTGCTGGAGAAGACGACGCTGGCGCCACGGGCAGCGAAGTCGGATGCGCGTTCACTAAAGGCAAGGATCTCGGTCGGGCAAACGAAAGTCCAGGCCATGGGGACGAAACCGAGGACGAGCCATTGCTTGGTGGATGTGTAGGCTGTTAAGCTGAGGTCTACGAGTTGTCAGTACGTTGCTCTACTGATAGGCAATCGGATGGGTAGAGGAAGGAGAAAGGTGCAAGACGGTCAACAGTCGCATACCTTCAAATGTGCCATCGACGACTGCAGTTCCAGAGAAATGAGGTGCGGGCTTCTGGACCCGCGCCTTAGGTTGGTACGCTGTAAAAGCCATTGCGACTGTTCGTACAATACAGAAGGACGACGCGACAAGATTGGCGATACAGACGGTATCAACACTGTTCGTAGGATTCGAGATAAGACGATTCGCAGGGACTCCTTATCAGTGTTACACGTCGGCGGAATTGGCGTAGGTAAGGGATTGGCTGGGTCCTTGGAAGTCCAACGGCTGCGGTAGACTTTGGGGTTGATGTAAAGTCGGACGTCGATCAAGGTGTCGGACTAGGTAGGTTTATGCTGCAACGGACGGAAAAGGGCGCGACACGTCAGGCGAATAGGAATAGAGGTAAAAGAGTATTCAAGATCAGCAGACAATTTGCGACAGATGTCAAAACGCGATGTCGAGGGCGACTAGCCGCAGGAAGGTAAGCGTGGACGCCTTGTGCACGTTTCCGAGGTATGAGGCTACTCTAGCTGGCACAGCGTGTCTTCGGCGACTTCGGGGGTTTGCGAGATTCTCGGAGAAGGCGCAGGCATCTGATCCCTCAAAGCTTTGCTAGTTCACCCCGGGCCGCAGCCGTTACACATGGCCTGACATATCGCACCAGCTAACATGTCCTTCTATCGGCGTCTTCGGCACGCTGAGTCGAGGCTCGGCCTGCTTACAGAACGGTCCCAGACCATCTGATGACTGACAACTGCGAGCCGCTAAAGTTCTTTCACCCAATAATCTCAAGTCACAACCAACTGTTGCATGCTATTCGTGAGCCAACCCTTGCATAGTTTGATCCTTCTTTGAGCGGTCTGAGACATGTACTGCGGCGCAAACGTACCTGCATGCGCTCCAGACGGCGTGGCTTACACTGGTGCATCAGGCCACCCACTATTGGCCGATCAGCACGCCTGGTCACGGGAGAACGCGCGAGCGCGGCACATACGTGCGCAAGCGGCTTGGAGACGGATTGTTGCCATGTTTCTGGGTCCAAGAGTTTTTGATCAGCAGCCTATAGCCACGCAATGTGCCTTCATCTGAATTCAAGCTTTGCATCTATATCGTACACTTCGTTGGTCATCTACCTATCCAGCGATCCTCCATGCCCTTAGCGGCAACGCCTGTATGCGCATAACGGCGGGTTTGATGTAGCCCCAGAACGTCACTACACCAATCACAATACACAGAATATTCACAATATAGTATCCGTCACTCGTGACGTTGCATACACCCCCGCCTGCCTGGCAGCGATGCTTCTCTGCCTCTAGCGAGCAAGAGAAGGCCTGTGTGATAAGTGGCCCCTTCAAAAGATCTGCCTTGGGAACATCCGTGGGTGGTATGCAGGTTGCCGAAGTGAACATATCGACGGCTTTGAGGACAAAGTAGCGTGGGAATGTACCGCCGAGGTTGGAGACGCTATACTGTTGTTAGTAATACGTAGATAGGGCAGGGGAATGGAACTTACGTAGCGAGCAGCGTCATGTAGGTACCACCGATGAGCGGATCAGAGATCTTTGCGTGGAACGCGCTGACTGCGACGAACATGACCGTATTCATAAAGGTTGACAGCACATGCTCAGCAATGACCAGCATCAGGAAACCAGACGATGCTCCTCCAGCCGGGAAGATGGACACGACAAACTGCGCGAACCCAGCAGCCACCAGGCGGCCGATGAAGGACCAACACCAGATGTGCATCGGCGGGTAGGTCTGGCACCATTTTCCGATGTAGTAGCCTAGGAAGACCTCGACGGGAAAGTCTACAAGAATAACGAGAGACAGCTGCTCCTGTTTGAGGCCTTTGTCTAGGAGCTTCAGACTTGTGACAGCATCGTTGGCTTGAAACCCGATCTTGGCGATGAGGTGGATGATGATGAAGCTTTGAATGTTCTTCAACTTCAAGATGCCCCACATGGTGCGGTAAACCTCGCTGATGCCATCGCCGTTCTTATCGCGGTCTTCGCGTTTCATGACTGCCAGTCCAAGAGTGACTATCAGGTATGCCCACCCCCAGAAGCTCAAGTAGCCATCAAGCTCCATGATGCCGGTGTCTGCAGGAGTGCTGCGGAACCACTTGTTCGCAAAGTCTTTGGAATTGAAGGCCAGGAAGACGGTGTAGGAAAGGAACTGGCCTGCGGTCAGGCCGACGGTTTGCGCAGTCGATGCGTATGCGAGGTTCTCCTTGGAAAGAAGGGTCAGCGCCCAGCCTGTTCGCAATTAGCTTTGTGCATGTCAGGTTTGGAAGTTACACAGTCTTACCATCCACAGCGATGTCCTGAGTGGCGCAAAGGAATACGAGCGCAAACCACCACCATGTGAAAGTCCAAACCCCGCTGTCAGTCTCGCCCGCCTCCTTCATCATGCGGTTGATGTTCTTGCCCAACCAGATCATGGAGAAGCCAGAAATGGTCTGGATGGGTAAGATCCAACTCTTCCGGCGTCCGACTTTTGGTGACCACACCGCGTCCACGATGGGACTCCAAAGAAGTTTTAGCGAGTACGGGTAGGCTGCGAGCGAGAAGACACCAATGGCAGCGTAGGACACGTTGTGTTTAAGCAGGAATGGCACAGAGCCGTGTGCCAGGCCCATGGGTATGCCCTGGAGGAAGTACAGCAGCACGAGGAGGAGGAAGTTGCTCTGGTCCTTCTTGGACAGCTCGAAGAAGCCTTTGGACGTTCCTTCGTCTTCTTGGCCCAGCTTGGGCACATCGTCATCGAGCGAAAAGTTGGAGTTGCCCATGAGGGATGCAGCCTGGCTCGATGGCGAATTGCTGTCAAAGGACGAATGTTTGCGCCGATGTTCCAACATGGCGCTGTTCATGGCCGTGGAATTTGCATTTCCGTTCTTCTTCTCCTGCAGTGAGTCGGTGGAGCTCTGCTCACGTAGTACAGAGCCGCGGTTCTTGGATCGCGAGGCGCGTTTGCTCATTTGGGTGCGTCGGTGGCGTGCGTCCGATGAGGAGGGGTTTTGGTGGTGGAGTTGGACAAGTGGGTAGGTAATAGGAGTCGCGCGGGTGATAGGTGGCTGAAGTCCGGGACTGAGATTGGCGAAGCGTAGGAAAGAAGACGCAAACTCTGGGTTGCGACGGATGTTTAGAGAGCGACTAGTGAATGACAAGAAACGTGTTAGCAGCCGGGTAACAGTATGCAGTAACGATGGCCACCGGCTTTGAATTACTGGGCGGATACGGAACCGTGTCCTCTAGTCTCGAGCTCGAGGGCGGAGCACTAGGCGAGTCGCGGGCTTCCATCCCACCTCCGGCCACCCCTGCTCAACGCTTAGTCACGTGTTAGCGCGTTGTCTGCTCCACGCGATTCAACCTGGACACCGATGCGCCTCTGCGACGATACACTGCTCCACCATGGAGACTACCGAACAGCTCGACGAGGACATTAGCCATCTTCATACCCGACTAGCGACGCTCCATGCCCACCGTGCGAACCTATCCTCCGTCCTGCTGTCGCAACCCCACCTCGCAGCGCGCCTCCAAAGCACCAACACAAACAACAAACCCGCGAATGATGCCAATGATGTCATCACACGGCAGTCAAAACGCAACCTCGAGAACATCTACCGCGCCTGCGCCGGCGTGACTGCATACAAAGTCAAAGACCCCGATCCGCATGCGCTGAACGACGGCAACATCCTTGGCGTCAGCATAGACGTAGCACTGGGAGGCAGGTTCGTCGAGACGTACCATGTCTTGCTCAGCGTCAAGCAAAAACATGACAAGAGAATCATGAAGATACACAAGCACACCATTCCACCATGTATACCTCTGCAGCACCTGTCGGACAAGTGGCTACCTGCGAGCGGCAAAGACGAAGAGAACGATCCAGAGCAAGACCTCGTGCGATTCGGAAGACTGCTGAGGAAGGAACTCGTGAGCTGGCACCTGCGCGCCAACGCGGTGGAAGAACTACGGAAGGATGCTGGTCTGGCACAACCGAAAGAGAATAGCGAGAACGACGGTTTCGCATCCACTGGAAAGATTTTAAACGCTTTTGTAAGCGAAGACGAGGCCAGTTCAGATATCGAGCAAGACGATGCCGAATTCGGGAGCGCCCGCATATTGGACATCGAAGCGGATGCGGCGATTAGGCAGGTTACCATTCTCTGGTCCGACAGACGGACAGCAGTCATGACCGTTACCAAAGATGGCAGGGTCGAGAGAGCTGTGTGTAGAACAAGAGATGGGGCGAGAGATGCCGTCTTGAGCAGAAAGGCCGTGGGGCCTCTAAATGGCTTGGTCCGGAGACTACGGGCATGAACAAGAGAGGTTCTCACCAGATCCACGGTCCCTACGAAGGTCTGGTGGTCTCCGATATGCTAAGCATGGCGTTTATTGTTGTTATGATACCCTTTGATAGCAAGTCGTTCATCTTCATCGTCTGCATCAGCCCTTTCCATCTTAAGAACGGCATACGTGCGGCGCATGTTTACCTCTGAATGCGTGAGCCCGCAACCTGATGCTGTCCTCATCACTATGCTCTGGGTCTTGGGCTTTCATGTGTGCAAATGGTTGGCGTTTCATTGACCTGGTTCTGTCGGCTGTCATCTTGGAGTGGTGTGAAGATACTACAGTGCAGTGGGAGGCTGAACGTGCACTGGCCACGCCACTTGAACGACTGGTCACACGAGCCATCTTTCCGCCTTTTGAACGACCACGCTTCTTTCTCATCAACTATCACCATCTCTACACACTCCACGCTCCAACTCACGCTCTCTATTCGCCGTCACTACATACTCATGTGCGTCGGGCACTCAGCCCTGCCATCCGTGGGGGATCGGATCGGCGGGCAGCGGCCTGGCCATCCTGCTTCCGAGGTTACAGTCGCAACCATGATGCATCGCGACGTGCGTACTGACCCCGGCAGCTCTAACTCGTTATCAAGACCTGGGCCGTACTATCGCTATAGCGCTTCTTTGATCTGCAACAACCCCAGCAAAGCACCGCGTGTCTGTAATCACAAGTGCACGAACGTGGGTAAATCCTTCTGATTGCACGCGAAAATGTGTCGAGAAAGGGCTTGTTCGGAGCGCTTGACGCCTATCTCTTCGCAGATTGGCAATTACAAGGTCGCTGCATCCAGGCCGGGTTTCCTTCTGTATCTGCTCATACCTCGCGTATGCACCGCGGCTTAATGCGGCCACCCGTCCGTCCCGCATGCCATCCTTCCCGTCAAGCACCCTTTCCTCGTGCGGCTTCAGTCCCCACTCCGTCTCTACGATACGCTGCGGTTAACTCACCATCTATTTCCACCTGGCGCTATTGCACTTCACAGTGACTTTGCTCGGCCTAAGCGACTACAATGTCCGACGGCTTGACACACGCACGCGCACGCAAGAAGTGGAGACATAACATCACCCACGGAATACTCAAGTTGAGTTGATCACAGTCTTCTACAGCCTGAAGATCGAGTCCTCCGTCCACACTGTCTGTAGTGCAGACACCTAATTTCCCGTCCAGGCTCAGGTGGTATCTACCGCATGCACCCTACTCGAGTACATCATCATATCTCCTGCGCTCGCTTTCCACCCGGCACTGGAAATATGTATTCATGTGCCAATGCATGGTTTCACCCGTGGGCTGCCCCGAGAAACTATGCCGTCTTAAATGAGGCGCGTAGCAAGCGGTATGGGGTCGCAAAGCAACCTGATGCTATGTTGTATTTTGACGTTACACATCCATGACACGCCGGGACTGTCCAACGAGCAGTACAGGAGTTTCACACTACACACTCCCAGGAAGCGCTATCGCAACAAGACCCTTGACATCTCTTACCACCCGAGGAACTTCCAAATGTCCTTTCTAAGCGACTAACGAGCTGTAGTTCTGTTCCACATTATCCACTGGATGAGGATGGAAAAGTATCGCCAATCAGTACTGGGACTTTCGTTGGAGTCATACGTTCTATGCCCGATGGAGATACGAAGCGTATTCCTGTACCGAGCGTCCGAGTTCACCTATCGCTCTTGTCTACGACTCGACTAGTCAGAGCTTCAAGCAGTTCGCCCTAGGGGCCTTTAACCGTCGTTCCCAGATCGTAGCCGTCTGTACCTGGTCGATCAAAGGCACACTCCATAAGTCTTCTGGATCTGGGGACTGACGCATCTTGTCAAATATGTATGCGCAAACAGCCTTATTGCCCATGCCGCGCTTGCATCATGGTAGGCGCGCGTGGATGAAGATATGTACCCTTGAGTCCTAGTCTTTACTAGGTTTCAGGCCCTCCTTCTCTCTCCCGCTGTCACATTCCTTTCAGAGAGCTTCTGTAGCATTCGCTAACTGTTCCTCCCCTACTCCTTGGTTGTTGCGTGGTCGAGTGACCCTCCTTTACGCTCTTTGACGCACACCTTCAGTCAACGCTCCTTCGACATAGTTGATATCCAGTCATTCTTTCGAATATAAAAACGCATGCTCTGGCCGTCTATTCACACCGCCAATCCTCCTTTTCCTCAGTTTCTATACACACTTGAGCTTTCGGCACTCAACCGAAGCCGCGTTCGTACCTGCACTAGCCCGCGCCACAGCCACGTAGCACAACATAGCGCGCCACTAGCGACATCATAAGGATGCGCGCCGCCAACATGCTCGCGGGAGTAACATCATTACTCTCCGTCTCCACCTTTGTACAAGCCAACGCGATCCCGCGTGGTACCAACGACACCATGACTACTAGTTCAAGTGCATCAGGCTACAAGAACGTTGCTTACTTTGTCAATTGGGTTAGTCGGCTGGCTCAAATGCGGAAGATCTACATCTGACATCGCTTGCAGGCTATTTATGGTCGCAACTTCAATCCTCAAGACCTTCCTGCACAAGAGCTCACTCATGTTCTCTATGCCTTTGCCGATGTTCGGGATACCGGCGAAGTCTTTTTGACAGATGCTTGGTCTGACGTTGACAAGCATTATGCGACTGACTCGTGGAACGATGTGGGTACCAACATGTATGGATGCGCCAAGCAGTTGTATCTTCAAAAGAAGAGCAACCCCAAGTTGAAGGTACTCCTATCGATCGGTGGCTGGACCTACTCTGCCCACTTCGCTCAGCCTGCGTCCACCCCCGAAGGTCGGGCCAAATTCGCGAGCAGCGCCATTCAGATCTTACAGGATGTTGGTTTCGATGGCCTCGACATCGATTGGGAATATCCTACCAATGATGCGCAGGCAGAAGACATGGTCCTACTTCTACAGGAGACTCGTCGCGCTCTTACCGAATACTCTAAAAACCATGCGCCTGACCAGAAATTACTACTCACCGTTGCTTCACCCGCAGGCCCCATCAACTACAACAAGATGAAGCTCAAGGCAATGGATCAGTACCTTGACTTCTGGAATTTGGTCAGTACTTTTGAATCATTCAGTCACACTGACTGCTAACACAAAGTAGATGGCCTACGACTACGCCGGATCCTGGGACACCAACGCCGGCCACCAGGCCAACGTGAACCCCTCCTCTTCCAATCCCACCAGTACCCCCTTTAGTACGAAGAAGGCAGTTGACGACTACATCGCCGCGGGTATTAACCCTAACAACATCGTCCTGGGCATGCCCCTCTACGGCCGCTCTTTCGAAAACACCGATGGGCCTGGGAAGCCCTTCTCAGGCATCGGACCCGGTACCTGGGAGAATGGCGTATTCGACTACAGCAAGCTCCCTGTTGCTGGTTGTCAAGAAAACTACGACGACAGCGTTGTTGCTAGCTGGTGCTACGACCCAGCCAAAAGGTTCATGGTTAGCTACGACACACCTCAAGTCATCGCCAAGAAGACCGCGTATATCCGAGAGAGAGGACTGGGGGGTGGTATGTGGTGGGAGAGTTCGAGTGATAAGAAAGGTGACCAGAGTTTGATCTCCACGGTAAGTAGATTCGATTTCAGGCTTTTTGTCTCGGTGTGTCCTTGTGAAAAAGATAACGGCTGACATGTCGATACAGTTTGTCAAGAACATTGGCGGGATCGGTGCCCTGGATCAAACCAAGAACCTGCTCAGCTACCCGGTGAGCAAGTATGAGAATCTGCGCGCTGGCATGCCGAATAACTAGGTGGACACCTGCGTTGTCTAGTCGATCTTGAGGTCGGATGGGCGTCTGCGCGTTGTCGGAGGACTGCCAGGCGCTAGGAGATGTATTAGTGGGAACTGTATTTGTTTTTCTCGGAACTAGTTGCACTTTCAGGCTGGGGTACACGCAGGGATCCTTTCTGTACATATGACAGTCGTTAACTTTTTCTTCCGCGCGATGTTTCGCCAAACGGCGTCTGGGAGGTTGGAGAGGTGTGGGTTGTTACACAAGAGACCTTTTGTAATGGTCTATACATGTATACGCGTATGAAATCTTCCTTACTTGCCGATCTTTTGTAGTGTTGATCATAAGAAGCGCAAAGACGCGTTGTTTCTCGACGCTTGTTGAGGCGTCGCGTGAATTAAATGCTGTCAAACAGTTTAAGTGATCAGAAGAGGTGTTGTACATTGGACAGCCTGGTTGAAGCAGACTTCTACTCAGGATCGAGTTGAGGTAATCCCGAAGTCGCATGGAAGCGATGACTGTTTTCCAGAATCTAAATATTTACAACGTCTTGCTAGTCTCTTCTGCCACACTGAGATCTGCGACTTCGCTCTTTCCTGCATTGCCCATCCTCCGCTTCTTCAGTACGTTCTCGATAAAGGCCTCACCGGCTTTGTAACTTGAGCGTACGAGTGGGCCGGAGGCGCAGTATAGGAAACCCATGTCGAGGGCGCGCTGGCGCCAGAGTTCGAATTTGTCGGGTGTGACGTAGTCGTGGACGGCCATGTGGCGCTTGGTGGGTCGCATGTATTGGCCAAAGGTTACGACGTCGACGTTGTTTGCGCGGAGTTCTGTGTACACGTTAGTTTAGTCTCATGGTACATCAGGTTGTATAAACGCACCCCTCAACGCATGCCAGAGGTCCTCATCCGTCTCGCCCAAGCCCAGCATCATGCTGGTCTTGGTGATGAGCTCAGGGCGTGCCTCCTTGGCTGACCTCAGCACATCCAGACTCTGCCTGAACTTGGCTCTCCTGTCGCGGACAAATGGTGTGAGGCGCTCTGTTGTTTCGATGTTGTGCGCAAAGACATCGACACCACTCCGCGCGACTACCTTGGCCATCTCGAGATTGCCTCCGTAGTCTCCACCCAGCAATTCAACAAGCTGCGTCGGGTTCTTTTGCTTGATCTTCATAATGGTTTCGGCAATGTGATGCGCTCCGGAATCCACGAGATCATCGCGATCAACCACGGTGATGACGACGTAGCCCAGCCCCCACCTCCGCAGCGCTTCAGCGGTGTTCTCTGGTTCGTGGGGATCCAGTGGTGGAGGTGCTTTGGACGTCTTTACGGCGCAGAATCGACAGCCTCGTGTACATGTGTCTCCCATGAGCATTATGGTCGCCGTTGCCGCACTCTTGGAACTTCCGCCCCAGCAGTCTGAGATATTGGGACATCTTGCTTCCTCACAAACCGTGGCTAGATTCAGCCCGCGCAAGTCTTTCTTGATCTGCTTGTAGTTTTGGTTTGCGTTTGAGGGTATCGGCGTCCTCAGCCACTCTGGAAGTCGTGTGATGGTCTTCTTGCGGCCTTCCGGGCCCACCTGCACCGTCTTGATCTCATATGCTTCGGCCGGGGAGAGGGGTGCCTCGGGGTTGACGAAATCGCCAAACGATGGACCGGCATTCAGTGTATCGCTGAAGGACGTCGGTGGTCGTGACCGCTTTGTGGGGGCTTCTGGTACTGCGGTTTGCGGCGTGTCGGAGGTCGTGGCAAAAGTTCTAAGCGGCGTCCTTGAGCGAGGGACAGCTTTTAATGTGGACGAGGAGAAGAGACATCGCGATCGTGGGATTGAGGCTGCCATGGTCGTATGTGTAAGCGTACAAAAAGAGAAAAGGATAGTGAGTGAATGGAGGTGTTGGGTATATCTTGCGCGGCAGAGCCTTGAATACCCGCACCGCATTGAGTTGCGCATTCCGAGCGCCAAGCCCTGGAACATGCAAGAGCAGCCCACACGCCGACATCCCTGCAGGTGCACTTGCTCGCGCTGGTCGAGGGCATCTTCAACGTCGCCAATTCCAGACGGCCAGGCAAACACCACTGCGACTTCGCCCCGCCCCGTCCACGTCTCCTCGCCCACCAATTCCAATTGCAAGGCCGCACTTGGACACGTTTGCAACCCCCCGTCGCAAGAGGCCACGTTAGGCGGAGGAAGAGCGGGACCAGTTTATACACACACCGCGAGCTAGCACGCGGAGCTGCACCACGACACCATGGACAAGAAGCACGAGGACGCCGGCGGAGTCGCCCAGATCGACAAGACGTCCGTCTTCCAAGAAGGTAGGGCACCTCCCGCATGCGCCAGAGGTTGGCGGGGGACGCTGACGCTGTCCAGCACGAGTATTCAACCAGAGCCCCATCTCGCCCAGGAAATGTAGAGTGATCCTGACCAAGCTGGCGCTGCTACTCTTCACCGGCGAGAGCTGGGGGCGCCAGGAAGCCACGACCCTCTTCTTTGGCATCTCCAAGCTGTTCCAGAACAAGGATGCCTCGCTCCGCCAGATGGTCTACCTGGTCATCAAGGAGCTCGCTGGCTCCGCCGACGATGTCATCATGGTCACTTCCTCGATCATGAAGGACACCTCCGTCGGCAGCGACGTCGTATACCGCCCCAACGCCATCCGCGCCCTCTGCCGCGTCATCGACGCCTCCACCGTCCAGGCCATCGAGCGTCTCGTCAAGACGTGCATAGTCGACAAGAACCCCTCAGTCTCCTCCGCCGCCCTCGTCTCCTCGTACCACCTCCTCCCAGTCGCCAAGGATGTCGTTCGAAGATGGCAGTCAGAGGCCGCCGAGGCCGCGTCAGGAAGCAAGTCAGGTGGTGGTTTCTTGGGAGGGTTTGGAGGGGGCTCACATACCACCCTCCAGGCCAGCACAAACTACATGACACAGTACCATGCCATTGGTCTTTTATACCAGATGCGCGCCGGCGACAGGATGAGCTTGGTCAAGATGGTGCAGCAGTACTCTGCTGCTGGTGTTGTCAAGAGCCCTGCCGCTACTGTCTTGCTGGTCAGATTAGCAGCTAAGCTCGCTGAGGAGGACCCAAACCTGCGAAAGGTGAGCTACATCCTCTCCTCCGGAAGATATGTACTAACAACTTTTACAGCCTATGATGCAACTCCTCGACGGCTGGTTGCGCCACAAGTCGGAGATGGTCAACTTCGAGGCTGCAAAGGCCATCTGCGACATGCGCGACGTTACCGATGCCGAGCTCGTACAAGCCGTCCACGTTCTCCAGCTCTTCCTCACCTCTCCTCGCGCCGTCACCAAGTTCGCCGCCCTCCGCATCCTGTCGCAAATGGCCTCCTTCAAGCCGGACGCCGTTCGCTCATGCAACCAGGATATCGAATCGCTCATCACCAACTCGAACCGTAGCATCGCCACCTTCGCCATTACCACACTCCTCAAAACGGGCAACGAGTCTTCGGTTGACAGGCTGATGAAGCAGATCACTGGCTTCATGGCTGAGATCACCGACGAGTTCAAGGTCACCATTGTGGAAGCTGTCCGAACATTGGCACTGAAGTTCAAGGCGAAGCAGTCCGGCTTCCTTGCTTTCCTCAGCGGCATTCTGCGTGACGAAGGCGGCTACGAGTTCAAGCGATCCGTTGTCGAGGCTATCATGGACCTCATTCGCTTCGTACCTGAGGCCAAGGAAGATGCGCTTGCCACACTTTGCGAGTTCATCGAGGATTGCGAATTCACAAAGCTCGCCGTCAGGATTCTATTCGTACTTGGACGTGAAGGTCCCTCAACACCACACCCTACCAAATATATCCGTTACATCTACAACCGCGTAGTCCTAGAGAATGCGATCGTTAGGGCTGCGGCGACCTCTGCTCTGTCCAAGTTCGGCGTCGGACAAAAGGACCCCGAAATCAAGAAGTCTGTCCACGTCCTCCTCACAAGGTGTCTGGACGATGTTGATGACGAGGTCCGTGATCGCGCTGCGCTCAGTCTTCGTTTGATGGACCAGGAGGACGACGATATGGCCGTTAACTTCATTCGTAACGACTCCATGTTCTCCCTTCCTGTTCTTGAGCACCAGCTGGCCATGTACGTCAGTTCAGATTCCCGCGACACCTTCGAGACAGCCTTCGACATCACCAAAATCCCCACAGTCTCGCGCGAGCAAGCAGATGCGGCAGACCTTACCAAGAAAACTGAAGGCGCTACCCCAACTCTTAAGGCACCCAGTGCCACCAAGGCACCTTCGAAAGCTGGTGCCGATGCCGCCGCAAACGCAGCATCGAACGCGCAGAAATACGCTACGGAACTGCAAAAGATTCCAGAACTGGCTGCGCACGGCAGC